TCAAGGGGATGCAGGGGCCCCACCTCGCCTGTGGGTAGAGCAGCTGAGGGCGTGGCACCAAGAGCTCGAAGAGGCATGACTCCAGCTAGAGCAGGAATGCGCGGAGCTCGAGCAAGAGATCAAGCTCCGTGGAGACGGTGGTGTGTGTGCACCGTGGCCCACGACGTGAACCGGAGGATCATCGAGGATGACGAGGCCCTCCCACACTTCACCCGGGCAAGCCAGAACATCACTGCCCATCGCGAGATTCGCACGCTACTCGAGCGTGTGGCGACGCAGCAGGCCAAGAGCTCGTTGTCCCAACGACACGAGCTTCGACGCCAGCTAGTGCACGCCCTCAGAACGACCCGACAGGGACATGTCGGTCCACCAGGCGCAGCGAGGCGGTAGGCCACACACCGCAGCCCCGGTGTATGAGCGTCTCGGCCTTTACCGTGACACACGCAACACCCTTAATGCTCGCAGGCATGCCCGCGGCGATGAGAGGGAGGAGGCTAGCCGCGGCTACCACCCTCGTTGTGGCGGATGCTACGACAGCGGCGAGGACCGAAGCCCGAGCCCCGACTTGCCGGGACCTCAGGCCTTTGGCTGACACATCCTCAACGTTGTCTTCCCACCGTGGTACCGACCACCGACCAACATCCCAAAATACTCCGGAGAAACAAACCTTGGACTATAGCTCGAGAATTATTGGCTTGCCTGCCAAGCCGGTGGAGCGGATAGTGATAATTTCATTATCCGCAACCTTACATTGTTCCTGGCCGATTCGGCATGAACGTGGTTGGAACACCTTCCGCCCAACCAAATCTAAAGTTGGGCGGACCTAAAAGAGATCTTCGTGGAAACTTCCAGGGCACATACGCGTGTCCTAGGAACCCATGGGATCCCAAAAATTGCTGACAGAAGTACGGGAAAACTCTTCGTGGGTCCTCTTCCTCGGTGGCCAGATCATCCCACGGGATGGGTGACCCAGAGCCGTCATCTTCCTCCTCCTCTTGCTCTTCTTCTTCTTCCTCCTCCTCTTCTTTCGATGAACCTTGACACCGCTTTCCTCGCTGCAGCTTCGCTCACTGCCTTGACTATCGTTTCTTCTCCTCGTCGTCTTCTTCTTCTTCCTTTGTTCATCCGTGGCACGGTTCGCCGCCCTCACGGCTGCATGCTCCGGTAGCGACGCGATAGAGTCCCGGAAGACTAACCCCACCGGCAGTTCGATGAAGCCCATGTCCGGCCGCATCACGGGATGCCCCAGGATTGGGAACATGGTGTTGACCTCCCCCATGGCCTCCTTGATGCGCTGCGCGACCTCGCTGTTGAAAGCTCTAGTTGGTTTTGGTGAATTGATGAAACCCTAAGTGCTAACCTAGTTTATCAAGTGATCATGAGATAGGTAGCACACTCCAAGTGATGAAGCAAATGAAGATCATAGCATGATAAAGATGATGGCATGGTGATGATCAAGTGCTTCGACTTGGAAAGAAGAAAGAGAAAAACAAAAAGCTCAAGGCAAAAGTATAATTTGTAGGAGCTATTTTGTTTTGGTGATCAAGACACTTAGAGAGTGTGATCACATTTAGGTTTGATAGCCATACTATTAAGAGGGGTGAAACTCGTATCGGAATGCGGTTATCAAAGTGCCACTAGATGCTCTAACTCATTGCATATGCATTTAGGATGTAGTGGAGTGCTAACACCATTGAAAATGTTTGTGAAAATACGCTAACACATGTGCACAAGGTGATACACTTGGTGGTTGGCACATTTGATCAAGGGTGGTGAAGTTTAGGTGCAAGGGTAAGAAACTCCACCGGCGGAGTGTCGCCCGTAGAGTGCGGATAGTCCGACGGTGCCACCGGCGCCCTAGACAGAAAAGACGGAGGTCTCTATAAGTGACCGGACGCTGGTCTTGGTTGGACCGGCGCGTCCGGTCAGTGGCAGCAGAGGGCGTGCATTGCGGTCTCATGACCGGACACTGGGTCGCTCAGCGACCGGACGCTGGCAGGGTGCGTCCGGTCAGTGCTGACGTAGGGTGTACAGAGGAGACACTATGTGACCGGACACTGGCTGTGTCCGGTCAAGCATGACTGGACGCGTCCGGTCGGGAAAAATCATGTTTGGAACCTTACTGAAACGACCGGACGCTGAAGTCCAGCGTCCGGTCACTTTCTAACTGACGCGTCCGATCAACTGATGACCGTTGAAATCTGATGAACTGTATTTGAAGCCGGGACACGTGGCTGACATCGGGAGACCGGACGCTGGGTTTAGAGTTCGGTCGATCGGACCGGAGCGTCCGGTCACCCCGCACTGTACCCAGTGAAGGGGTACAACGACTCTATTTCGTGGGGACTTCTATTTTAGCCCCATGGCCGGCTCAAGCTCACTCTCTTGACCATTTTCATTGACATAGCAACCTTGTGAGCTTAGCCAAAGCCCTCCCACTCATCTCCATCATTGATTCATCATCATAGTGAGATTGGGAGTGATCCAAGTGCATTGCTTGAGTGATTGCATCTAGAGGCACTTGATGTTCATGTTTTGCTGCAGATTTCGCTTGTTACTCTTGGTGGTTGCCGCCACCTAGACGGCTTGGAGCAGCGAGGATCGTCGAGCGGAGGATGGTGATTGTCTCTGGCTCCGATCGTGGTGATTATGAGGGGTTCTTGACCTTTTTCCGGTGGAGCGCCAAAAGGTACTATAGTGGATTGCTCGTGGCTTGTGTGATCCTCATCTTGTGTTGGTTGTGCGGCACCCTATTGAGGGTTAGGCGTGTGATGCCAATTAGCGTGTGAACCTCCAAGTGAGTGAATCGCCACAACGAGGAGTAGTTTGCCGGCAAGCAAGTGAACCTCGGTAAAAAAATCATTGTGTTCATCATTTGATTCCGAGGTGATTGGTCTTCATTGTTATTCATTCTTGTGATTGATTGGCTCCTTCATCTACACGGTGGTATAACTTTCTTGATCACTCTCTTTATATTACCGCAAACTAGTTATCAAGCTCTTTAGTGTAGCTAGTTGTGAGAGCTTGCTTGGTTGGTTGGTGTGGCTCTTTAGTTAGTCTTTGAGAGCACATTAACATAGGGTAGTGTCATAGCTATTGTGTGAATATATACTATCTAAACTAGAATTGTGGTAGGTGGCTTGCATTTTTAGTAGGCTGGCGTAACACTTGCTTCACCTCATAATTGTCTAACCGATTTGTTAAGTGTTGTTATAGAAATTTTTATTAGGCTATTCACCCCCCTCTAGCCATTAGGACCTTTCAGCTGTCGCGGAGCAGCCCCTAGGCGAGCGTCGTCCCGATGAGCTGCGCGCCGGGCGTCATCCCGTACATCAGGAGGACGCGCGCCATCAGCGGCACCACCCTCCTCGCGTGATACCCCCCCGATGACGCCGGCCCCGTGGAGGCTGTGGGTCTTTAGGAACACGATGGCATCGAGGAGGTCGTGCATCCTCTTCTTCTCCTTGACGGGTGGCCCCCATGGCCATGACAGCGGTACCTCTTCGACCAGGCGCCGGAGAAGACCGGCAAGGGAGCGGCAGGGTTGTTCTTCATGTAGAACCAATGCGAGTGCCACCCCATGTTAGATCTGGAGAGCTGGCAGGGCATATACTCGGCCGCCCGTTGCCCCCGGAGGTGGATGCCCACACATCCCATCGGCACGGGGTCTCTCGGCCTCTCTCCTTCTTCTTGATCAAGGAGATGGAGAAGAAATATCTCCACAGCTCGAAGTGGGGCTCGATCCCCAGGTACCCCTCGCACATCGCGATGAAGGCCGCGATGTGCTGGATCCCGTTGGGGTTCAAGTGCTGCAGCTCGATCTGATAGTGGTGCAGCAGACCCTGGGAGAACAGGTGGGGAGGAACCGTGAGTCCACGCTCGTGGAAGGACGTGAAGGAGACGACATAGCCGTCGGGCGGCGCCGGCGCATCCTCGCGGAGAAGACCACGCTTGATGAGGCCCTCCATGTGCGCATGAGTAACATCGGAGCGGTACCACGAATCCATGGAGGATGGAGGCAGCTGCGGAGTAGCAAAGGCGGTGGCGGAGAAGCGGAAACTACAGATCTAGGGCTCCGCGGCGGATTAGCGAGCACGGCAGATCCGAACGGCGGCGGTGGAGAAACGAAGAAGGTAAGGTTATGGTTTTGGTGTGCAGAAACGTGAAAGGGGAGGCCGCTATTTATAGGACGGAGCGGGCGAGAAGGCGAACCGTCCGCCAAGGTTCACGCGCCCGCTACGCCGCATCACGTCACCTCCCTCCGGAGATCGTGCGCACGCTATCTCTGGCCGCGCCCTCGAAGGACACGCCGGATGACGGTTCGCCGGTCGATGGGACAAAAACCATCGCAGGTAATGAGGGATACAGAGCTGAAAACGCTCCTACGGCCCATTTAGGACCAGGAGTTCGAAGGCTAGCCCGCCGACGAGTTCACAGCCGCTCCGGGGCACCCTTAGAGCGAGGGGTGGAAAGGGATAGGGCCACTAGTGGGCAGTATCCGGGCGCACGAGCGCCGCGGGCATCTCGACCCACGTTCGAGTCTTGGTCGGTTTCCGATCCATGGTTTTTTCTCAAAGAAAGGCAACGAGCCCTTGAGACCAACCCAATAACTATATATGGATTGACTCTGGAGCCGGTCACCGGCTGAGCCATGCCAGACCCCGCGAACGCAGCTCGTCCGCACTCTGGTATGGGCCTGGAAATTCAGTGGTTGGAGTTGGAGTTCCAAAGGCCTTTCAGCGAGTCTGGTCCAGCAAGTCAGTAGAAATGCCAATAGAAGGACGAGCCTACAGATCCGAGCCCACGAGGTTAAATGACTTTTTCATTGAAAGAAGCCGATTAAAAAGAAATGAATGAATGGTAATCCTTCGTACCCCTCCAAAGCGGGAGAGTCGTCCTCTGGATGAGGAACTTCCTCGGTCCTCGCTACTCGATGGCGTTCGTCCTGTCCAATCGGGATCGCTGGCGTGGAAGGACGGCCTCAGCCGCATCTCCCATCCATGGCCACCTCGAGAATCAAACACGTCGTGCTCTTTCCCTTCCCTGGTCAGGGCCACCACGCCAGCTTCCTCACCATCGCCCGCCTCCTCGCCCGTGAGCTCCCGGACGCCGCCATCACGCTCGTTTCCACTCCAGGCAACGTCGCTGCCCTGCGCTCCTCCTCGTCGTTCGTCCCGGCCGACCACGGCCTGCCCATCGGCTGCGAGTCAACCAGCTGCCTCCCGGTGCCATCGTTCGTCACGCTCTTCGAGGCCTTCGAGTCCCTGGAGCCCGCCTTCGACGACTACGTCTCGGGCCTCAGCGGACAGAGCGGTGACGAGGCGGACATCTGCATCGTCGCCGACGTGTTCGTCGCGTGGACGGTGGACGTCGCGCAGCGGCACGGGTGCGCGCACGCGGTCTTCGTCTCCTGCGGCGCGTTCGGCACGGCCATCTTTCGCGCCCTGTGGAACCACATGCCGGCGCTGCCCTTCGGCTCCGACGACTTGCTACGCCTGCCAGAGTACCCGGACGTGGCGCTCCACCGGTCGCAGCTGTCGCCCGTCTTCCTCCTCCACGCCGAGTTGAGCGACCGGTGGACGGCGTTCTACCAGCGGGCCATACGGCACGGGTATCGCACGGACGCGGTGCTCGCCAACACCGTCGAGGAGTTCGAGAGCACGGGGCTGACAATGATGCGCCGTGCTGCCGGCAAGGCTCCGGTCTGGCCCATCGGCCCTCTCGTCCGCTGCGGCAACGACTCGAGCATAGACGAGACCGACGACGGCGTTCTACGGTGGCTGGACACGCATCCTCAGTCGTCCGTCTTGTACATCTCTTTCGGGTCACAGAACACCATACAAGCCAAGCAGATGACGGAGCTCGCCGCAGCCCTGGAAAGCACCGGCCGGCAGTTCATCTGGGCGATCCGGCCGCCAGTGGGGTTCGACGTCGCCGGCGCGTTCAGCGACGAGTGGCTGCCCGAGGGGTTCGAGGCGTGGGTGGGCGCCGCAGGTGCGGATCCTGGCGCACGCCGCCACGGGCGCGTTCCTCAGCCACTGCGGGTGGAACTCGGTGCTGGAGAGCCTGACGCACGGCGTGCCCATCCTCGGGTGGCCCATAGCTGCGGAGCAGTTCTACAACGCGCGGATGCTGGCGGAGGAGTGGGGGGTGTGCGCGGAGGTGGCGCGCGGGAACCTGGAGAGCTCGGCCGTGGAGAGGTCCAAGGTGGCCGAGGCCGTGGAGACGGTGATGGGGGACACCGTGGAGTCGGCGGCCATGCGGCGGCGAGTCAAGGAGGTCCAGGTGGTGTTGACGAGTGCCTGGCGGCAGGAGGAGGGATCGTCTACGACGGCGCTGCACGAGTTCTTAAGAGCCATGCACCTGCAATGAAACAGAGCGATGCCATTACCATCCGTGTCAAGTTTGTAACTTTGTATTGTTGGGCGCCCGAGCGCCATGTCCGCGCCATTTTCATTAGGAGTGCGATGGTTTTCATAAAAAGAAAAAGATATGGGGGCTTTCAAGGAGATGTTGATATTGCCAAAGACATGTGGGCTTTCAAGGATGAGGTTGTCCCCAAATGAGATAACTGGATGTCAAGGACAGCAAGACCCTCTCAAGCTGCCGAAAGTCTCTAAGAATTGCCCTCACCGCCCCGAAATTGAGAGCATTACCGGGCAAGGGGTCGAAGGTGGCGATGGCGAGGTCCTTGTTTCTTGCCGGCGGCCTCACCGGAGCAACGACATGGATCATGAACTCCTTGTTGGCGATCTCCTCGTGCTGCAATCCGTGAGGAACGAAAGGAGCAGGGTCCGTGTGTGTAATGTGTGCACCATATGAGCTCTTTGTAACATAAAATGGTGTAATATCTGTGAACACTCAATCTTTCTGCATACCATGATTTTAAGCGGCACATCTCTTGTGTTTGCGGAGAAAAGATTATGAGACTGGAAATAAATGCGCCCAAGTTAACTTTGAGTGATATGGAGAAATTTTGTATCTTTCACAAGCAAGCTCATATCTTGACGTTGCAGTAGCTAATTGCATCAAAGCAGAAAGAAAAACATAGATGGATTACAAGTGAAACGTCATGGCTTGACGTTGCAGTAGCTAATTACATCACAGCCGAAACACAAACATAGATGGATTACAAGGGAAACAGTCTGAACATAGGCAGAACATGAGCTAACCAATTGCCCAGTCAGGGGATGGACAAGCCATATGATATCAGCAGGGTAAGCTAGGCGCTCAAACCTAATATCACTGCTACCAATATATTGCAAAAGCTGGAACCAACAGTGTTAACTGTTTGCCAAATTTCATTTTGCACGAATGACATGCACATTCATCGTGTGCTTCGTATTTTCAAGTAGCTCAAAGAGGCAGAGATCTCCCAGCCGCAACTTGTTGTCACAAGCAAACTGTTTCCACCCTTTCATAAGCCTTTTGACTCTGTCCTTCTTAATCACACACCGCACTTCCCAACTCTTGCCACGGCATTGAAGCATCAGTGTTTGGTCCTCCAATGGTAGATATACATCAGCATATACTCTTGGTATGTCCTGATTGCAGTAGGAAAGTGTAAAAGTCAACTGAAAAATAGATCAAGCTGGAAGTACTTGCATCAAGATTTTAAATTATTTCTTCAAGGCATTTGTGTAGAGCTAGTAGTACTTCAAAGATTAAAAAATTGAATCTTAAAAATTATATATTTTTTCTACTTGATCTTCTGATTTTATTCAATGCCATATTGACCTGGCCAAGAAAAAGGGGAGAAGGATTATGTGGTTTAATTTTGCTTGCAAGGGATTTGCTGGGCTATGGCTTTGTAGGAAAAAGATGGTGATTGCTAAGATGCTAAGAAGTCCACTCCTCCCACTGATACTTCAGTTCCCCTATCCCTGTTTCTGAAATCGTAGAAGCTCGCTCCCTCATAAAGCTGGGGAACGCCTGTTCTACAACAACATGCTTTCAAAATGAAGCATAATTGCACTAGAATATCAATCCAAGAATAAAGTTTCCAAGCTCACCATAACCTGAGATTTTCCATGAACATTACTCTTCTTCATGATGCATCCATAGATGGGGATAGTAGAACTACTAGCTCCGACTCTCTCTTTCAGTTTCTTCATCTGCACACAGGTGAGACAGGTTCCCTGTGGGAGGATGTAACCTGGAACATAATGTGATTTCTGATCTTCTGGACATATAGACTCTCCTACACAGAAACAAAGAGAAAGAAATGTGAGGTCATGATCTGTAAAGTAAATCCTAGTCAAGTTGGTTCAACTTGGTGACTCATAACCTGATGAGTCAGATAGGGAGGTTGATGAACTAGCGGTGCCATTCATGGGAAGATCTCCACAACTGCTTGAAATTTCAGTGTGCATTTCCCTTGTTTCTCTGCCGCAGATATGATTTATCTTGACAAGGCATGGCGGCACTTTCTCGCAACAACTAAGATCAAATATGAAAACCTTCAATCGAGAAGTCCCGTCATACTTGAAAACCAAGAAGTCCCCCATGTTCAAGTCATGGGCAGTAACAAACTCCTTCCATCCCGTTTGAAGGACTACTTTGCCCAGATTCTTAGCTACTTCAACATCAAAAGTGTGTCCACAGCGTGATTCTAGCTTAACACTGTTTGCTATTAGCCCTCTCAAATGTTGCTCGAATTTGTCAGGTATGGCCTGCAGCAATAACACGGAACAAGCTCTTATATATATCTTCAATTCAAGAAGTTGGCTGATAGTGCAACGATTTCATTCCAGACATCAAAACAGATAAGGTCTAAGTTTATCCCAAGAAAACTGTTTTAACTATATTAATACGTCCAACATGTTAAAGAGCCAATAAATATTCTCAGGTTGCACAAGCATTTCTGTCAAAATCTAGCATTGATTACAAATGAACAATATTTTAGCATATCTTCAGAACAATAACACGGCACATATATCTTGGGTTTCAATTTGCATCTACAAGAGGCCAGATCTTTCCATTCAGGTTTCTGGGTTGGTTTTGGAGCCAAAACTTTTGGGGCAAATGAACAGAGACGGGGGTTGATATAATTGCTAACACAATATCTCCACTTCTGAGCCACTGGCCACAGCAAAAGTCACACTGAACACAGTGGACGGACTAGAAAACTTACCAATCGTTCACGAAAATCACCAACCAGAACCTTGAAGAAATACTTGTCCTTCTCATCCTTGTGATCCGGATAGAAATATGCATTGCTCTCCCTGCTCTTACCAGGCTTTCTCATCTTTACCACACTGAAGCATGCCGAGGACATGCCAGAGAACAGAACGAAAGAAGTTGGAGAAGTACTACTTAATCGCAAGCTACGGAAGATAAAACTGATGAATGATAATCTTTGATCATCTTGGGAAACCCAAGCTACGGAAGGAAGAAATATGGAGTACCTGCAGCTTGCTCTGGTGCCAAGCCCAAGCTTTGATGATCACTAACACGCGCCTTTGAACCGTAAAAGAGACCAGCCTGAATCACCTGATTGAAGAACCGAGAACGGAGACGCCGAGGTGGGGTTTATGTCTCTTTTAGCCCTCTGAACTTGTGGAGCTTCCTGATCGGCTGCTCCTGCTCTAAGCCTCTACTCTAGTGTGTGCATTTATGCTCCTGCTCTACTTGACCTTTCCCTCAAAACTTTATATCATGTCACATTAAATGTTTGATACATACATATAGTATTAAATAGAGACTAAAAAAATAATTAATTACACAGATGACGACTACTTTATAAGACGAATCTTTTAAGCATAATTAATCCATGATTTGACAATAAAGTACTACAGTAACACATGTGCTAATGATGGATTAATTAGGCTTAATAAATTCGTCTCACGGTTTATTAACGGATTCTGTAATTTATTTTTTTATTAATATCCGAATACCTCATACGATATCCTCGTATAACATCCGATGTAATGTCTCGAAACTTTACACCTGTATAACACCACCACACTCTCAAAGCGGGGGTACAGACGTGCAGTACACACGCAAAGAGGCATGGATACGTCATCGGCCCAACTGTTGTTTCTTTGACTCTTGGTCTCTCGGAGCATGGGCCAGTGGCAAGCAATTCAGGCTTCGTCTAATTTTTTTTGAAAGATTAATGTATATTAAAAAGAGAATTTTTACTATGGCCGGGGAAAATATGTATATTAAAAAGAGAATTTTTACTATGGCTGGGAAAATTGAACAGCGGGTGAGGAGCTATCCTAGAAAAGCATAGGCACCAAGAGGCACCGAGGAGGAAGCACCGGAAGGAACCAAGTGTAATGGTGGGACTATAGGCACCAAGTGTATATTAAATTGGTGAGATCAGCATAAAAAAAAATTATTATTTTTTCTGATTTTATTATGTAATTAAGGGTAAAATGATAAATTTATAATAGAAGGATATTGTTTTGAGTAGTATAGTTGGGGTGGATGATTCACGTATTGATTAATAAGAAGACTTGTAGTCATTCCAGCTCCAGCACTCGACAGTTAGACGTCATGGCGACAGCTCCGCCCACACCCACCCCGGAGTTTTCCCCGCTCATGGCGACAGCTCCGCCCACACCCACCCTAGAGTTTTCCTGCTCATGGCGAAAGCTCCAATGAGCCTGCGGCTGCGGCGGCGTGCGAGGGCGAGGGCAGGGTGGTGGCAGCGAGGGCACGCAGACCTCTCCTCACCAGTCCCCAGCGAACGGCGGGACCATGTAGATCCGGTGAGGGGTTTTGCTCTCCATCGTCGTTGAACGAACCAGCGAATAAGGATGGCGGCCACACGACGCAGCACCTAACCAACCTCCCCTCCCCATCTTTCCACGCCAATCTTGTGCCTCCAAATATGCGGCCGTTGCCCAGGTCCTTGCTCCTCTGGCTCCCTTTTTTGGGGTGCAAACAATCCAATTTTATCGATTTTGATTGGCCTTGGACCGCATCTGAAGGAGGACAGAAGGCAGTGAGTGCTGAGATGGAAGGTGGAGGCAGCGGTGGTTGATGCTAGATTGCTGGTGATGCGGGTGAAGAGTGCATCGTAGCGGAGGTCGAGGGTCCGGTTGAAGAGGACTTCCATGGTAGTGATGGAGCCTGTCCGGGGATCCTGATGAAGACGAATAATGTGGTGCAGGAGGAGAATACGGGTGATGGACGAGGACTATGGGGCGCGCTTTCTGGATCTTGGACTCCTCACCGTCGTTCTCGATGGCAGTGGCGGTGGATGGGTAGGTGCCGAAGATGGGATGCGCCTTCGACACCAGTGCTGGCCGGCAGGGTGACAGCATTGGCGGCGGGACGAGGGCCGGGCGGCCGCCGCGGCGGGCGATGGCGAGGGCAGGGCGCCGACGGCTGGGGGCGAGGACAGGGTGGCGGTGGTGGGTGTGTGAGGAAGAGGGCGAGGGCAGGGCGGCAGCCGCTGCGAGGGCACGAAGGCAGCAAATCCTTCGCATGGGCTGATCGGGCAGGTGACCCCTTCGGCGGGCGTGGGGTGGGGGACGAGGGGCGGAGGTCAGGGCTGCAAATATAGGTTCACTTTTTATCGATCGAGTTGTTTCGGTGAATATATCCATCTGATGAAGGGAACTAGCGTGGCGGCCTGTACAACTTTGTTTCTTAGTCATATTTATTTCGTGTACCTGAGAATTGTTCTTCGTTAATTACTTGGAGTTAGAATTTTTTTCATATCATGTAAGGCTAAGCCATCCCTTTGTCACTTATGAATATATGCTTTGTATATCGCTGTACTTCCACACTAGAACATTAGTTTATATATTGTCATGTCATTGTTATTCTTTGTTGTATTATATCTCGGTTTTCTAAGGCACATACATGTTGGACCTATGTGCGGGCAGGGTCAGGTTGTGCATGGGTTTTGTATTTTGTTTTAGCTCTTAATCAAGTTTGCCTCTATTGGATCAATCCAATAGTTCTATGCATTCCATCTGGTGTTGGTTTTCTTAAAAAAAGATTCTTTGATACACCAAAAAGTTATTATGCCGCCTTTTAATACGCGGTAACATCAGTTGTTACTCTAGGAATGTTGGGCAAGGATCATTTTTCCAAACGATTAAATTACTGCACCGTGGCAACGCATGGACATTAGTCAAAACAAAATATTATAAACTTTTGGACACATATTATGTTATCTAGCCTATAATTAAGTGCCATTAGTTTCTAATCTATATCTATACCTAATAATAAAAAGACAAAATTTTAACCACATATAAATTTTCGTCCAACCTATCACCAGTCTGTGTCCAATCTGATTACCAATGTTTGGTCTGAGTCTCTTTTTTACCGCTTTCATCTCGATTTCTTCTCCCGCCATGTTGTTTTTTTCCTTCTCTGCGCTCGTGGATGGTGTCCGTGACTTTTTTTTTGTGCCTTGCTGTGTTTTCATTTTTTTTTTGTTTTTCCTTTTGAGATATAAAGTACTATGTTTTCCTTATAAAGATAAAGATAAATAATAAATATAGTATTATGGATCTTTTTTACCCTTAGTTAATAAATAAATATTTATATTACTAAGTTGTTGGTTTTAATTAGAAAAAAGTTATTATTATAACATGAATAAGCCGATGGCTTAACTAATCAAATGGTAAACTGAAATCTTGAGCAATTTGTCATCCAATCTAATCAAATAAATGTTTCTCCAAGCTATCCGTATGCCAGTGCAAATCTCTAAGTTGTCCGCATATACCAGTGCAACTCTTGACATGGTTGATATGTGAAAATTGAGACACAATGACGACTAACTCCTTGCCGATTTTTTTCTTTTAAAAAAATTGCCGACTTTAATGAGGTATTAAAGTCACATATTTTTATGGATTCTCAAAAGAAGCCTTGACACTTGATATTTAACCTTTTCAACAAATGGATAGTATGAAAATTAAAGTTACAATACATTTGCAAGTAAATATTTTTGTGCTCTTTACAACGAAAGAAAAAACTACCAAGGTTGTATTTTAATTCAATACATAATTAATAGGACATTGCCAATATTAACTTATATTATGAATACGATCATTATAAAATAAAGTATAGCTTTTAAATTTATGGAGACGATAAAAAAATACATATCTAACATTGTTCATCTTTGTTTCCATTAACGAGCCCGTTCGTCTGTGATTGGTGCAGCAACCACTCACAATATCAAAAGTAGTACATGTACAAATTAAGCTGTCGCGACCGTTGCAGCTATGCTGCAAGCTAAACTAACAAGTCAAACGTTTGATAGCTTCCTCCCGTTGCAACGCACGGGCATATTTACTAGTCTAATACAATGTTTTAAGTTTTCCCATGTTACCTCTTTCTTTGTTCCAAACATATCTTCTTATATTTTTCATGTATTTTCTTATTCTATTCCTACATTTATTTCCATTCCTCTGTTTTATAATCATGTATTTTAAATAGGACCTAAATTTTATAACATCTATGCACTACCGTCTAGTGTAGCTAACTAATAAACTAATAATGGATGAAAATACTATTTTGTCCTTGGTCAATGGTAGTCAACAGCCTCTTCTCTCCTGTCCTCTGTCTCTCAACATCTACTTCATCTCCCAACATCATCTTCTCTCTCTGCTGGTGTCATGGTGTGGCGCGCAGCGAGGCGGCTCGAGACGCAGTACAGGCGAGGGCTGTGCTGCGTGCACACGAGCAGAGCGCGATGCGGTGTGTCGTGGCAGGGCGAGCGCTGCGCGGGCAGGCGTGACCGCGTGAGGCACGTCGTTGGCGGCAGCGCGGCGTGGCATGGCATATTGGCATGGCGTGCAGGTCCATGTCTAGGAACGTCTTCGAAGCCTCCCAAAATCAGTCGGCACGGTTGAACCCGACGACCAAGAGGGTCCAGGAGACGACGGTCGGATCCACTCGGGGATTTGGGCGAACAAGACGCGGGTGTCAGTGAGGTGGCCAGACTTGGTGCGTAGGGTAATGTCGTCGAACAGGCGCCGCGCATCGCTGGAACTTGGAAGCACCCACCACTCACGCCAGGCGTAGCGTGGGTGACGACGGGGGAGCGGCGCAGCGCCGGCGGGCCGGCGCATGTGAGAGAGATGCAACAGCTTTATCTTGCACTCAGTTTTATTCTTACCATGTTCTTCTGGTAGATGCCGATTCCTCCGATAGTTCATCAATGGACTCTGGAAGCCTGCGAACAAGGTCAAGAAGCCGTTCGTTCCTGTGGAGCCCAGCATCTCACAGAAGGCAAGTGATTCTCATGGTTTCATGTAGTTGAAGAGATTATTGCCTTTGTTCGTTTCCTCCAAACAAAACTAGCAGATCAGCAGCTCTAGGGTACTGTTACTTGCATTTTGATCATGAGAAGTTGCGCTGACGCTCTCATGCATCTTTATGAAGATCTATGTTGTCCTTTCTGATGAATACTACGAAGTACTTGAAACTAATTGCTAGTTTGGATATTCTTTCTGAAGTATGCCATATGCTCTTGTTTAGGGATTACATTAGAGCAAAATTCCAATGAAAACTAGTAACCATCATAGAACAATGGCTCTCCTATCTTTTGTTCCCTATTTTTTGGGGATGGTCTTTCTTGTCGAGTTGTAACGTACTGAAGTACTAATGTAGCTCAGTAAAATGACCATATATTAAGACATTTTTTTGATAAAAATCTATTAAGACATTCGCATCTCTGTGTGTAAGGTGTGCATCATATGAGCCTTTTCTCATACAAATGGCTCAATATCTGTGAACATTCAATCTTTCTGCAAAACATAATTTGATGCCGCAAATCTCTTTTCGCTAGCAGAGAAAAGATTATAGGACCCTAAATGAATGCGCCCAAGTTCTTTTGAGCGATTTTGTAAATTTCATACCTTTCACAAGAAAATTCATGGCTTGACGTTGCAGTAGCTAATTGCATCACGGCAGAAAAATAAGCATAGATGGATTACAAGTGAAACAGTCTGGACTTAGGTAGAACATGAGTTAACCAATTGCCAGAACAGGGGATGGACAATTCATTGATACCAGCAGGGTAAGCTAGTCGCTCTAATCTAAAATTACTTCTACCACCATATTGCAAAAGCTAAGCTGGCACCAACAGCATCAACTGCTTGCCAAATTTCATTTTGCGCGAATGACATGCACTTTCATCGTGTACTTTGTGTTTTCAAGTAGCTCAAAGAGGAAGAGATCTCCCAGCTGCAACTTGTTGTCACAAGCAAACTGTTTCCACCCTTGCAAAAACCTTTTTGATCCGGGGTTTCCCTTCTGAATTAGACACCGCACTTCCCAACTCTTGCCACAGCATTGAAGCATCAGTGTTTGGTCCTCAAATGGTAGATATACCTCAGCATATACTCTTGGCATGTCCTGATTGCAGTAGGGAAGTGTTAAAAGTTAACTGAAAATAGCTAAAGATGCTTGTAGATTGTAAATTTCTTCAAGGCACTTTGTTTAGAACTAGTAGTACTTCAAGGATTCAAAATTTCATCTTTCAGAAAAAATCTAAAATTCTTCTAGGTTTTCTGATTTTATTCTATTGACCTGGCCAAGAAAAAAAGGCGAGAAGGATTATGTGGTTTAATTTTGCTAGTAAGGGATTTGCTGGCTGTGGCTTAGTAGAAAAAAAGATGGTGATTGGCTGATTGCTAAGAAGTCCAGTTCTATTCCCACTGGTACTTCAGTTCCCCTATCCTGTTTCTGAAGTTGTAGTTCGCTCCCTCATAAAACAGAGAAATGCCTGTTCTCAACAACATACTTTCAAATGGAAGCATAATGCAATAGAATATCAATCCAAGAACAAAGTTCCAAGCTCTTCCTTGAACATTCACATGATGCATCCATCAGTTTCTTCATCTGCACACAGTTAAGATAGCTCTTCCTTGTCATGAGGTGTAAAAAATTACTCAAGTTAGTTCTTCATGGTGATGCAACCAATAGAACTAGCAAGTCATGGAGATACTGAGTGCAACGAGGATTGTGCAGATTCACCTCCAAGTACTAGCTCGGACGCTTCTCTTTCTCTAGTTCAGTTTCTTCCTTTCTGCACACAGTTAAGCACAAACATGCTTCCATATCCCTTAAAAATTCCGTGGGAGGATGTAACCTGTTGTCATAACATGAATTCTGATAATGACCTGTCTACACATATGTGGTTTAGAAAATTTGAGAAAGTCAAACATTAAGAAGTCATTGAGGTGATGGAAAGCAGTAAATCATTACTCAAGTTAGTTCAACATGGTGACTCATAACCATGACCATGAAAGGCGGGCGCCAAGGGCGGCGTCGGGCGGCGCGTCATAACCTGATGTATCGGACGGGAAGGTTGATGGACTAATATTGACATTCATACTTCCCTTCCTTCGCTTCCAAGCTTTCCTTTTACTTCCAGGGGATTTCATGGGAAGATCTTCAGAACTGCTTGAAATTTCAATGTGCTCTTCCTTTCATTTCTCTGAGACGGATATGGTTAACATCTTCACAAGGCATGGAGGGAAGGTTGATGGACTAATATTGACATTCATACTTCCCTTCCTTCGCTTCCAAGCTTTCCTTTTACTTCCAGGGGATTTCATGGGATGATCTTCAGAACTGCTTGAAATTTCAATGTGCTCTTCCTTTCTTTCTCTGCCACGGATATGGTTTCTCTTCACAAGGCATGGCGGCACTTTTTCGAGGAGACTAAAGGGTGAACCGGTCCAGAGAGCAGCACCTTCCGGTCACGGGAAGTGTCATGGGTAAGACTCTACCGCTAATGCGAGGAGGCCCGAACCGGGACCTTTCAATCGGTAAGAAGTACCCTTGCACCAAGCCCACCCTTCAATCGAAAAGTCCCGTCGTACTTGAATACCAAGAAGTCCCCCATCTTCAAGTCATGGGCAGTAACAAAGGCCTTCCATCCCGTTAGGAGGACTAGTTTGCCCAAATTATTAGCCACTTCAACATTAAAAGTGTGTCCACAGCGTGATTCTAGCTTAACACTGTTTGCTATTAGCCCTCTGAAACGTTGCACGAATTTACCAGGTATGGCCTGCAGCAATAACACGCAGCAAGCTCTTATACATATCTCCAATTCAAGAAGTTGGCTGATAGTGCAACGATATCATTCCAGACGACAGATACAGAGTAGTACATAGTTGCCCACATCTGACTAAGTTTTATGAACTGATTATAACTATATTAATATGTCCAACATGTTAAATTAAAGAACCTATAAACATTCTCAGGTTGCACAAGCATTCCTGTCAAAATCTAGCATTGGTTACAACTGAACAATATTCTAGCATATAGCTTCAGAAGTTCAGAACAATAATGCGGCACATATATCTTGGGTTTCAATCTGCATCTACAACTATATGAGGCCAAATCTTTCCATTCAGGTTTCTTCTGGGAATTAGTTTGGGTAGCACATATAATTGCTAGCACAATTTCTCCACCTCTGAGCAGGCAGAGATGGTGGTGACAGCAAAAGTAAAAAAAAAGAACACTTTCCAAGAACATAGTGGACCTGTAAACTTACCAATCCTTCACCAAAATCACCAACCAGAACCTTGAAGAAATACTTGTCCTCCTCATCCTTGTGATTCGAACAGAAATATGCATGCCTATCCCTGCTTCTCTTACCCGGCTTTCTCATCTTTACCACACCTCAAAAAAAAAAACGAGAGATAAAAGTTCATGAGTGATCTTTGATTCATTTTGGGAAGCCCAAGCAACGTAAGAAATATGGAGACACATACCTGCTGGTTAATTGTTGATGCAAGCCCAAGCTTGATGATAGCACGCGTCTGTCAACCGTAGTAGTTAGTAAAAACTGACCAGCCTTGAATCATGTACCTGATGGAAGAATGGAGACGCCAAGGGGAGTTTATGTCTCTTTTAGAAGTTGTGGAACCGAGCGAGCCCCGAAATAATGGCTGCTACTGCTCTCGTGTATGAACTCCCAAGTCCCAACTCCCGGTTGTTTTAACTCGCAAAGGGGTAATGCTCTGCGTTCACATCGTCTCAACTCTCAAGGGATGCATTAGGTACAGCCTTGAGTCTTGGCGCATGAGCTAGTGGCAAGCAATTCATGCGTCGCCATTATTAGAGATACGTACTAGTACTCCCCTAATCATCGGGACCATTCGCAATTCAAGCGTCGCCATTCTAACAGCATACATGGAGCTAGCATTGAAGCACATTGATCGACGGTACTGCATCTTTTGCATGAGGATGGTACTGCATCTTTTGCATGAGGATGTATTGATCACCGGTATTTTTGCAAGTACTTTCTCCGTACTAAAAAAATAAAGTCATTTTGAACAGCGACATGGTCTCCAAAGCATAACTCTAACTACTTATTTTTATAAAGATATTTATCAAAAAGTGATAGATGTAAATTTTTGTGAAAGTATTTTTCAAGACAAATCTATACATATGGTTTTCACATTTTCAAACTCAACAACTTAAAAGTTATTCATGATTTATATTATCAATGTTTAACATGAGCCTTGTCTAAAACGACTTCATTTTTTAGTATGGAGGGAGTATTCTTTTTTCCCTTTCATCCATCCGAGGATTCTGGAGGAACCATGCATCCAACCAGGGCATTTTCCAAGCCCATATTCACAATGTTTTAGTGTACTCCCTCCATACTAAAAAATAAAGTCGTTTTGGACAGCGACACGGTCTCCAAAGTATTACTTTGACTCCTTATTTTATAAAAATATTTATCAAAAAGTGATATATGTATATTTTTATGAAAGTATTTTTCAAGACAAATCTATTTATATGACTTTCACATTTCCAAACTCAACAACTTAAAAGGTATTCATGATTTATATTTCCAATGTTTGACCCAAGTCTTGTTCAAAACGACTTTATTTTTGAGTACGGAGGGAGTATTCTCTAATTTTTAGAGTACCATGATCTCTTTTTTTACAGTACGGAGACCAAACATGTTGGAGTAAACGATCCAATTCCATTTCGACGGTCGTTCACCCGTTTTCAATCAGGCGATCCGACCGAACGAGTCCACCACGGTCCCATGCGCACATGTTGCACCTTGCCTTTTTGTGTCACATGTTGCTCCTTGCCTCGCACGCTAACTGCAGGTGCGTCCATCTTTCTTCTTTTTTATTTTCTACTTTTTTCCTTTACCTTTTTTTTTCTTTTTCACTATTTTTTCTCTCTTTCACTTTTCTCTTCTTCCAATCTAATTGAATTTTATGATCACAAATCTACAAAAGTTATAATGAGAAATTTGTGATGATAATTTGTCACGTAAAAGTTATGTACATAAGTTGTGAGTACAAGTTGTGATGATAAGTCGTTCTATGTATAAAATGTTATGCACATAATTTATTTGTATAACTTGTAACTTTCCAGCAATGAAAAGTTATGGAAATATTTTTTCCTTTTATTTTTTATTTCTACTATTTTTCCTTGCCTTTTTTACATTAATTATTTTACATGATTGTATATGATTCATATACTAGTTGTACACATAATATAATGTTGTGCACCATTTTTTTCTTTTTCACTATTTTTTCTCTCTTTTTTCACTTTTTCTCTTCTTCCGTTCTCATTGAATCTTATGACCACAAATCTGTAATGTGTAATGTGTGCATGAGACGAGTTCTTTCTCACACAAAATGGTGTAATATCTGTGCACGTTCAATCTCTCTGCAAAACATAATTTAATCCGCAAATCTCTTGTGCTTGCAGAGAAAAGATTATGGGACCGGAGATGAATGCGCTCAAGTTAACTTTTAGTGATTTGGAGAAATTTCATATCTTTCACAAGCAAGGTCATGTCTTGACGTTGCAGTAGCTAATTGCATCAAAGCAGAAAGAAAAACATAGATGGATTACAAGTGAAACAGTCTGAACTTAAGAAGAACATGATCAGGGGATGGACAAGTCATGGATATCAGCGGGGTAAGCTAGACACTCAAACCTAAAATCACTGTTACCACCATATTACAAAAGTGCACGAATGATATGCACATTCATCGTGTGCTTCATATTTTCAAGTAGCTCAAAGAGGCAGAGATCTCCCAGCTGCAACTTGTTGTCACGAGCAAACTGATTCCACCCTTTCACAAGCCTTTTGGTTCTACGTTTATTCCGAACTACACACCGCACTTCCCAACTCTTGCCACAGCATTGAAGCATCAGTGTTTGGTCCTCAAATGGTAGATATACATCAGCATATACTCTTGGTATGTCCTGATTGCAGTAGGAAAGTGTCAAAGTCCACTGAAAATAGCTCAAGCTGCAAGTACTTGCATCAAGATTGTAAATTTCTTCAAGGCAATTTGTTTAGAGCCAGTAGTACTTCAAAGATTAAAAAATTCAATCTTAAAAAATATTTAATTCTACTTGGTTTTCTGACTTTATTCAATGTGATATTGACCTGGCCAAGAAAAAAATGGGAGACAGATTATGTGGTTTAATTTTGCTTGTAAGGGATTTGCTGGGCTGTGGCTAAGTGGAAAAAAGATAGTGATTGCTAAAAGGTCTCAGTTCTCATCCCACTGTTTCAGTTCCCCTATCCCTGTTTCTGAAGTTGTAGCTCGCTCCCTCATAAAGCTGGGAAATGCCTGTTCTTCAACAACATACTTTCAAAATCAAACATAATTGCAATAGAAGACCAATCCAAGAACAAAGTTTCCAAGCTCACCATAGCCATTTTTCCATGAATATTGCTCTTCGTTATGATGCATCCATAGATGGGAATTGTAGAACTATTAGCTCGGACTCTCTCTTTCAGTTTCTTCATCTGCACACAGGTGAGACGGGTTTTTCGTGGGAGGATGTAACCTTGACAATGTAATTTCTGATCTTCTGGATATATAGAGTTTCCTACACAGAAAAAGTGAAAGAAATGTGAAGTCAATAAGTCATGATCAGTAATGTAAAATCCTACTCAAGTTGGTTCAACATGGTGACTCATAACCTGATGTGTCGGATGGGGAGGTTGATGAACTGGGTTGACATTCATATTTCCCTCCCTTTGCTTCCATGCTTCCCTTTTACTTACAGGGGATTTCACGGGAAGCTCTTCCCTTCTTTCTCTCCCACGGATATGATTTCTCTTGACACGGCATGGCGGCATTTTCTCGCAACAACTAAGATCAAATATCAAAACCTTGAATTGAGAAGTCCCATCGTACTTAATACCAATAAGTCCCCCATGTTCAAGTCATGGGCAGTAACAAACTCCTTCCATCCCGTTTGAAGGACTACTTTGCCCAAATTCTTGGCTACTTCAACATCAAAAGTGTATCCACAGCGCGATTCTAGCTTAACACTGTTTGCTATTAGCCCTCTGAAATGCTGCTCGAATTTATCAGGTATGACCTGCAGCAATATCCTCAAGAAGTTGGCTGATAGTGCAACGATTTCCATTTCAGACGTCATAACAAATAAGGAGTAGTTTTAGTACTTAGTTTGTCCATCTAAGGACCAAGTTTATCTCTAGGAACTCTTAAACTATATTAATACGTTAACATATTAAAGAATCAATAAACATACTCAGGTTGCACAAGCATTCATCACAAATGAAAAATATTCAGCATATATAGCTTCAGAACAATTATATGGCACATGTATCTTGGGTTTCAAGTTCTATCACCAAGTGTCCAGGTCTGGCTAAATCTGCATCTATAAGAGCTCAAATCCTTGTATTCAGGTTTCTTCTGGGACTTGGTTTTGGAGCAAATATAATGAACAGAGACGGGAGATGATGGAATTGCTAACAGAATACCTCCACCTCTGAGAAGGCAGAAGTTAAAAAAGAACACCGCCTCCCAAGAACAAAGTGGACTTGTAAACTTACCAATCGTTCACGAAAATCACCAACCAAAACCTTGAAGAGATACTTGTCCTCGTCATCATTGTGATTCGAACAGAAATCTGCATTCCTCTCCCTGCTACTCTTACCAGGCTTTCTCATCTTCACCACACCTATATCAAAGACAGGACATGTCAGAACAGAACGTAGGAAGTTGGAGAAGTACTAGATATAGAACGGTACTTAATAATCGCAATGATAAAAGAAAAACTAGAGATAAAGTTCATGAATGAATGATAATCTTGGGAAGAAATATGGAGCACGGTGTACCTGCAGGTTGTTGATGATGATGACAAGCCCAAGCTTGATGATCGATAACACGACGAGCCTGTCAGGCGTCAGAGACTGACCAAGCCTTGAATCACCTCACCTGATGGAAGAATGGAGACGCCAAGAGGCAGGGACAGTTAAACTCAGTAAATATATTTGCCGTGTCTAAATCTCTGCCCTTTCTTCTCATTATGTATATTATTATAGTATTATTAATAAAGCATGAGTAGTGGTGATACTACACGTTCCATCTTCTAGCATTAGGCTCTATCATTGACACGACACACGAGTAAATGTAATGATAGCACTAGGCTATGTCATTAACATATCTTTAACACGAATTTGGAGTAGGAACTCTAAACATGGGAGTATCTTACAGAGGAAGCCGCCGCCGCCCGTACCCGTCGGCGGGCCGGTCGTATGACTCCGACTCCGAGCACTCTGAGCTGCGTGCCTCCGCTGTCCCCCGCAACTCTCTCTTCCCCCGGTTCCCCAATTCAACCTTCTCCGTTCTCTCAGATCTAACCCTCGCGACCCAACTCAACTCAATTCGCGACTGGCCCGATGCCCCGACTCACTCTCCCACCGGCGAATGCGCCTTGCAGAGGCTGATCTTGGCACCCCTGAGCTTGCCGCTAGTTACGGCAGCGACTTAGCGGGCACCGTGTTGAAATTAATCTTATCGTCGCAGGATCTTAACCTAGTATAAACATGATCACTAACTCAACTTAGTGTGGAAATTAGATTTTAGATACTGACCAGAGCACGTAGATGCCATCTGATGTAGCGGGGTTGATGCAGATGAAGTAGTCGTGCTTCCAAACCCCTCTCAGCGAGTCGAGCTTGTAAACCCCTCACAACGTATAATAGATCGGTTTGATAGATTTAGGTGTCAAGAGAATTAGGCTAATTTTGAATTCAGCTTTGGTCTTATTGTTTATATATACAAATACAAATGGTGAGGTGGGAGGGACTCCAGATAACACACTACAGCGCCGGCGTGGGGCCAGGCAGGGAGCGCAACGGAGCTAGCGAAAAAAAACAGTAATGCTCCAATTAAGACGACGGACACTTCACTCCGCTCGCTCCTGCACTCACTTCCTCGCTTCCTCCTTCCTTCCGCGCTCGCGCCCCACGCCTACCCTGACGCGTGGCCATGGCTGCCTCCCTAGCCGGCGGCGGCGTGCTCCCCCACCCCGGCGTCGTCCTCCCCCATTCCGGCGGCCACTTCCCCCACCACGGTGGCGCCCCTCCCCCACCTCGACATCCTCACCCACCGGGAGCGCCCAATGCCCGCGGATCTGGTGGCCCTCTCCACGACCCTGGCGAGATCCATGGAGCACGAGCAAGATCCATGGAGGTGGTGCGGCGTTGTTGCAGGGGAGTGGGCGGCTTTGCCCCACCCTGGCCCGGCGCCCTCCCTCCCCTGGTGGCGCCCTCTCACACCCGGTCGACCGAGCTCCCCTCCCCTATATTGCATATGTATGTTTTAAATGTTTCAGACGTTTCAGATGTATGTTGCATTTGTTTCATATGGATGTTGCAAAAGTAGATCGGGGGATGTTGCACATGTTGCAATTGTTTTAGAGGCATGTTACAAGTGTATGTTTCGAGTGCTCTAGTTGTTTCGGAGGTATGTTTCATCTGTGTTTTCCGGACGCATGTCGCAAGAGTGTTTATCTGGATGTTGCATATGTTTCAAACATATGTTGCATGTGTTTTATTTGGATGTTTGCGTATGGTTTCAATGGTTTTCAATTGTTTCATAAGCATGTTTCAAGTGTTTCAACTGCCTTCAGACATATGTTGCAACTGTTGTATTTGGATGTTTTAAAAGTAGATCGGGTATTACACCTCTCCTCCCAACCTTCTGCTCCATCGTCTCTACCGGCGCTGGTAGGGCATCCATACGATGCCGTGGTTGGGTACTTCCGGATCGGAGACGCCGCGTGCCCTTCCCCTCTTGTCGCTCGGGTGGACGGACCCTGCGTGGAGCGAAACGGAGTGTAGTGTGCGGGCATCCAGACGTGGGCGTCCGTCCGGACGTCCGGGTGCTAGCACTTCCGCAAAAAAGCTACGGCGCCGTGCGTTGCGCCGGCAAGCGGTGGAGCCAACACGGTGCCACCTGCGTGAGGCTGATTAGAGCTGGGACATGGGCTGGCGTGCCATTTGAGGACGGGTCGTGGCATGGTCTTTTGATACGACCCGAGCACGGTACGGCACGAAATATTATGGGCCGTGCGAGCACGACACGAAATATTTTGGGCCGTGCCTAGGATCTCGGCACGACGGGCTATACGGCCTGGCCCGCATTTTGGGCCGTGCTTGGGCCTGCACGGCACGTAGCATGTAAGCATGACTTCGGCTCATCTCCAAGTTTCTGCTTTTTGTCTTTCATAATATACTAGGTAGCGTGCCCGTACGTTGCTACGGGACAACTAAACTTTTATACTAAAAATACATGGATCGCACGATAAGATATGCTAAATTTCTAGACTTCATCAAAATATTTGATCTTTGATGTTATATCTACTGGGCACCACCAAAACAGAACTGTCGACGAAGTCACAGCTCAAGCTCCAAGGGGAAAGATTCATACAAACCAAATGATCAAGATGTTCAATACTGCAATGTGCATATTCTAGGTGGTGCCGAGAGAATTACATATTCTCATAAAACACTAATATACTTGATCTTAGCAACATGTTGTTGAGCCACATTTTAGATGTATAAGCACCAATTTTACATGAAAGTATCAACGCAAGCTTGCTTGAAGAAAGGACACTAAACACATAATACAAGCACAGAGTTCAAATTAAAGGAAGTGTCCATATAAATGTTCATTCGTAAAGGAGTAATTAGAGTGAAAATTTCGAAAAATAATAATGCACATTCTAGAGAATTCACAACATCTTTCTCCAATTACAATTCTTATTTAAATGTGTCAAAATTCTCAAACACCAAATGTTCTGATTCCAAATCGCTTCCTTTTACTCCGGTGATTAAGATCCTGAATGGCCATGCCGGCAAGGCCAATTTGTCCAGCGCTCCACCTGTGTGCCAGTCGTGGCGCCATTGCGGCGCCGGCACCGGCGCCCTCCATGCTCTTGGCAGCATCACCAGAGCCTTTACTCGTTTACTGTAAAATGATGAAGCTCATCGTTCATATGAAAATAATCATGGGCTCATAGACAGGATTTGATCATAATCTCCATCGCTGTGTTGCTTCCTCCAGTCTAGCACCAAAATGTATATTCTTCTCTGCCAGTTGTTCTGATTCTTGCTCCGAATCACGACGATAGTAGTTGGCCTTCCCATCATTGACTATTAGTTGTTGCACAATCTACAAAATAGATAAGGGCTAATAGGTTTATTTGCATTTTTCTAACATAAATTAGCACAATACTATACTGTTCATGAACAAGAATGTAGATGTAATCTTCAGTTGCTCCCTAAAAAAACAAAGTATATGATATTGATATGGTTCTGTGGTAGCAAGACAGGAATAAAAAAATGAGTCCCTTTGCTTGGCAATGCAACAGATACATCTAGCAAACATGTTGTGCTGCAAAAGAGAAAAAAAATCTTAATGCAGTTCAAATTACACGTCAAACCGGGAAAAAAAGACTACTAATACAACATCAATCAATCAAAAAATAAGAGGCAAAAAGAGAGAGAAATCAAGAAGTGCTCAAACTCTGATGTCAGCGTGATAAATTTCACGAAGTTAATCTCTGTAATGTAGATATGTACAGACCAAAAGTGAAAGTACTAAACCATCATTTTGTAAGATGGGGTTGAAATTATTTCCAGTCACACCAAGCTCTTTGGGTGTTCCAACAGACTGTACATAATAGAAAATTAAACTGTGCACTGAAAATTGGGAGCAACTGAGAGGAAACAATTGTAGCTCTTCAGTACAAGAAAAGAGAAACAAAAAAAAGAATGTACTGCTTCACAAACCAACTGTCAAAATTAGAGCACACCTTTCTATATCAGCACACCCATTCTATCTGAAACTAAAACCAGAAGTTGCACTCTTGGGAGAAGTTGCACATGTAGAGTATTAGTACTTATGCAAGACACTGGCTAATGATAGCATTTTCTCTGGCTGTGTTGTTTCAGTGGTTTCACATAGTTTGAAGTTTGAAAATTAAATATTTCTGAAATATTTAGAGTGCGAATTGAGAAATAAACAACTCATGTATTGCTCAGGATGGATGGCTAAACCATTAGCACCAAATCCAAAGAATTGCAAGAGATAACTACTGCTGCCATCACCATGACACTGCACTGTCAAAATTAGTGCACAGCTTTCTATCTCAGCATGCCCATCCTATCTGAACTAAAATAAGAAGTTGCACTCTTGGGAGAAGTTGCACATTCAGTATTAGTACTTATGCAAGACACTGGCTAATGATTGCATTTTCTCTGGCTCTGTTGTTTCAGTGGTTTCACGTGCTTTGAAAATTGATTCAGAAATATTTAGGATACAAAATGAGAAAATTATAAGAGGAATAAGAGAAATGAAGAAAAGAAAAATTACACAACTCACGTGTTAGCGTGTTGCTCAAGATGGATGGATGAACCATTAGCACCAAATCCAAAGAATTGCAAGAGATATGCAACTGCCGCTTACGCTTGCCATGACACTGTTAGGCCACAATTTGGCTTCCCATCGCCATTCAAGTATGTGTTTGGGCCACGGGTCAAGAATTTGAATCGCATGAGTCAATCATGAAGCGTCAGATGGAGAATTTGTGGGCAATTACGATGACATGACCATCATCTTGTTAAACAAAGCTCCAATGTAGGAGATAAAGCGAAAAGTTGTAACAATGTATATGACAAATGCGATTAAGTCACCTAATCTTAGTTTCCAGAAAGCGATAGGATCTTCTTATTTTCAGAAATACAAATCATGTCCATTGTAAAGTTCTTTAGCCTCCTCAGCCAAGACAGTTTTGTACTTTTAAACATTGATTACTCTCATGTGCTTTAGCTTTTCTTTTTTTAAAAAAAAAATCTAGTTACTATCTCTGTCGGTACATCATGTTTACAAGACAACATTAGAACTTACTGCACAGCAGGTGACCATTCATGATATACAGTCCATCCTCATTTTCATTGATCCCAAATTTGAAATGGCCAGAAAAACATATAAAATCCAGAAAGATTGATGGTGCAGATAAGGTGATATTTTGCAGCATAGGCAGGAGCTATAAATATTAGCATTTGAATGTATTATAAGCCTAACCTTTAGAAAATTCTTCAAGACTTCCCTCATTTTCCTCAATGGAGCCTTTCTGGTCCAGGAATCTTTTTATCCGGTAGCTGAAATGGTCCTTGAATTTGTTCAGCTTGGGGGTCCAGGTCATATATGGGACGATGGTCGACATCGCCTCTGGCGGTTCCCATAGTTTTATCTTGTTGAACGGTAGATGCAGTAGCGTTGCTCTTGACCTTGCAAAGTGCATTAAAGCCAGATTCAGAATTACACCAGCGATAGAAGCTACATGTGATGATGTAGTAAGGCTAATTACTTGCTGCAGCAACCACGGAATATAGCAGTTTATTGTAACTATTTATTATTATGTAATAAATGATGAGAATGGCAGAAGAAAACCAACCACCAAAATTTAAACAACTTTAATTGAAACCTGAGATCCGCTTGACTTGTTGCCATAAGAATGTATTTGAATCAGGGAAAAAGATCTGCATACCTTCTGCACTCCTGACCGGCGAGCATCGCACTGGACAAACAGCACACTCAGCCGCACATTGCCGCCACCCTGCGAAACCATTAAGGAAACCATCAACCAACAACCATCAGTACAGAAAAAAGGGTACTGTAACTCCAAAGCCCGTTAACCTGACTGACATCACACAAACAGACCAAGAGCTCTTTGCAGTCACTTGCTACTTTCACGGACCAGCCTGCCACATCTCACCAGAAAAGCTTTTGAACAGTTTGTTTATTGTGAAGAACCACTTCGATCTGTAATCGACAAATTTGTAAATACTTAACCATAGCAGGATAGGAGAAAGTCGGCATGAAAAAACAAGGAACTGATGTGCTATTTGACCTTAATGTCGTCATGCCCATAGACCTCAAACTGAGTGTCAGGTTTTCTAACCAGAGTAGCTGAGGTTAGTATCCACGTTTTTTTGCTCACATGATCAACCACTGTCCCTGAGCAACACATACGCCATCCATCTGTGCAAGAGTATTCAATTTATAATCATCACATAAATTTACTAAAATTTAAAACAAAGTCAGAGTAAAACTCTAAAGTCCCCCCTTCACTCTATACCATATTTGTGTAAATGCAATCAGCTTTTTTATGGTCAACATATAGCAATACTATGATTAGTAATAACAACTGAATGCAAGAGCACAGATAACAAAAAATACCAGTAGTAGCAGCAAGGGTGACGATAGATCTGCGAACACCAAGCATACTGATTCAAAGTTTTTCTGTTCATCTTCATTGAGGTTCACTACTCTTTTAGAAGAAGAAAAAAGATTGACGGAGACGGATGTTCAACGAACTTGCAGCTTCGCCTTTGCTTTTGATTTCCGCGCCGGTTGTTCTTCATCGCACCCGGGGGCGTCGGCGGCGTTGGGGTTGGGTGTAGAGTTGGCGCTGGGGGTGAAGGATCCGCTGTGAGTCATCTCTCTTCCGAACACGGTTGGAAGTTTGCCTGGGACTTTGGACATCAGTGCCCCCATCGCCGAACCTCACCGCAATCCCTGGCGGCGCCGTCCGATCAACAGGCGAGCGAGAGCACTACAGCGGCAGGAGCAAAGTCGTGAGGAAGACGGCGGGAGTAGAGGAGGCGTGGATGGGAAGGGGATGGGGATGGGCCGGGTACCGTGGGAAAGCGCGGATGGAGCAATCGATTCACGAGGGGAGGCGGCTGCTGCCTAGGCGTCATTGCCGGACGTAGGCCGCGGGACGGCGGCGGATCAGACCGGCGGGTGAATCACCGGCACCGCCGCCGTCGCCGATGGCAGGAACCCTAGGACGACCGGATCAAGTTCCCCAAGGAGCGAGCAACCGACATGGACAAGGAGGGCAGTGAGGAACATTGCGGACGCGGCGCACATCTGGAGGAGAAGCGGACCGAGCAACCGACATGGACGTGGAGAGGCTGCAGTATAGCACGACAGTGAAGGATCTGGCCGGGGCGGCCAGACGGGATCGTCAAGCGAGGCGCGGGGGAGAGGGATCGACGCTGGGTGCGTGATTGGATGCGGGATCGACGCCGAGTGCGTGATGGATGCGGGATCGACGCCCGGGGAAGCGAGCGATCGTGCGACGCCATCTTTCACCAGGATCGTCGTGTCTCGTGCGGGGGAGGGGAGACCGCGCGAGACCAGGGCACCGCGCGAGCGGGGGAGAGAGGGAGCGCTCGCGGTATCGCACGGCACGGCGAGAGGCGGAACCAAAACAAATATCACATAAAAAAAAATATTCATGTTTTACTTTTTTTAGTTGTATAAGGAGATTCTTAGGAAATAATCAATTATGGAATCTATCTTCCATGCATGACACACGGCAATGTTGCACTCAAGAATTATGAAATCTACCTTCCATGCATGACCCACGGAAATGATCAATTATGAAATCTACCATCCTGGCAACGTGCCTATATAACCAATTTATCTTGCTCTCGTATCTCGAGTCTAGATCATCACCAAATCACCATCCAAATTAATAAAACACGTCGATATTCCCCAATTTGATGTCTTTTTTGCATTTCAAAAAAATATATCATGTTTTATATTACCAATTATTGAAGAAAATAAGTAAAAATATAGTGAGGGAAGTGCTTGGGCTGACATGGCATATCACCAGAGAAAATCTTGTTGTGCCGTCCGGCACGGCCCGACGTGCCAAGCATGCCTAACATGCTGGGCCCGACATGGCCCGAAGCACAAACAGGCCGGCATGGCATGGCCCAAGTCCCAGCTCTAGTCTAGATCATCACCAACAGTTGACATCACGGAGCATAGCCATCCAAACAACACATCTCAAGTTGCTATTGCTAATTCCATTAAGCAAACGCAAAAAGCCAAAAACACACATGGACGACACAAACGAAACAGTCTCAGCTCTCAACTTTAGCACTAGAACTGGATCATGGGATGGATAGATCATAGATTGTTCCGTCACTAAAGAGAGCGCATATATGGTGTATATATACACTCAGCTCTGAGCAGAGTAAGCTGGACCCTTGCCAAAGCATAAAAAAGCGTTCGTATCACTACTACAAAAGTTAGCACTAATAATGGCTGACATGACCATAAGCATCTTTTATCAAACCCAAAAGCACTACTGCCACCGGCCACGCTGCAAAAGTCGAAAACAACAGTGGAAAGCATTTCCCGATCCCACTCTTTGCGAATGATATGCACATTCATGGTGTATTTTTTGGTCTTCAGTGGCTCAAAGAGGCAGATATATCCCCAACTGTAAATTGTTGTCACCTGCAAACCGTGCCCACCCTTTGTAAAGCTTTTTGAATTCGCCTCGATCTTTCGGAGCCTGAACGCGGCATGTCACTTCCCAGCTCTTGCCATGACACTGAAGAGTCCACCTTCTACTCTTGGATGGAAGACATACACCAGAGTATTTTTCTAGAGAAGTCCTGGTTATAGAGGAAAGGAAAGGCTTCTCAGAGTTGGAAAGTCAAAACAGTTGAAGTTTTTCATCCAACTTAGCTTATAAATTTCTTCAAGGAGTCTAGGAAGCTAAACAACCTGCTCGTTGAAGGATGTGCAATTGAAAATCCAGTATCAAAAAAAAAAGAGAAAAAACCTGACTCACCATAGATTGAGATCTTCTAGAAATATTTGTCTTCTTCACGACACACACATAGATCGGGATTTTAGAACAAATAGCTCAGACTCTATCTTTCACTTTCTTTTGCATACTATCAAGGCTGGTGCGTTCTGGAAGCATGTAACTTGGGACAGAATATGCTTCATCATCTTCTGAAGATGTCATACTGCCTATAACCAAACAAAATAATGATGTCATGATCTTGTAGATGTACATAGATGCCACTAGGTTTGACATTGTGACTCAACCTAATGAGTTGGATAGGGAGCATGATGCATTCATACTGATCCTACTCCTGTCCATTTTCTTCCATGATTTATTTTTAGTTTCTGGCGATAGTTTCTTAATTGAGAAAAAAATTAGGAAAAGGAGATCTGCTGGAGCTTGACTTTTGCCTTCAATCTGCTTCATTCCTAATGAGAAACGAGGTCATTTTTTTGTCAATCTAGTGGAGTTGCTCTTACTAGCTCATGTGTGGATGTACCAAACGATAGCGGCTACAGGTGGTGTAGGCCGACTTGTTGAGCCGATGGGCTGGCCACACATCTGGTTAACTCTGCATCTTGTAAGTCCTTTCTCACATATCACGTAACAAACCTTTCAACGAAACCAGTACTTCTGTGGATCTGTCCTAAACGATTTTGGCTTTATCTTAAATCAAAATATCTTATATTTCTTGAAGTTTAGTTATAGGAAATATCATCCACATTTATGACACTAAATAGATTTACTATAAAATGTATTTTATGATAAATCTAATGATATTTATTTCGTATCATAAATATCGATATTTTTTACAAATTTAGTTAAACTTAGGATTATTTGATTCAAAACAAGTGTCAAATGACACCCTTGCGAGACTGAGGTAGTAAGTTATAAGCTTTTAAGGAACAGCCTCTTGCGCCTATCGAGAAAATATCATGGGAATATGGGACTATGGGAACGCCTGATGGCTCAAGTGAACCTTACAGGGATTATTTGCTGTAGAACATTTACGCAAGCAAGTTCATCAGTTCATGGCTGCACCAGTCGACATCACGGAGTATAGGCATCCAACCAATGTATCACAGTTGCTGTTGTTAATTCCATTATAGCAGAAGCAAAAACACAGATGGATTACAAGCGAAAGCATCCTCGACTATAGCACTCAAACAGGGGATGGATAGATCATAGATTATATTGTTCAGCACTTAAACAGAGTAAGCATTTCCAAGGCAAGCATAAAAGCATTAATATCAGTACTACAAAAGTTGGCACCAATGGCTGACATGATCATAAGTGACTCTTATCAAACCCAAAAACACTACTGCCACCGCTGCTGAAAGTCGAAAACAAAAGCAGAAAGCATTCCAAATCTCACTCTTTGCGAATGATATGCACATTCATCTTGTGCTTCTTGGTCTTCAGTTGCTCAAAGAGGCAGATATCGCCCAGCTGCAAATTGTTGTCACCTGCAAACCGTGCCCACCCACCGCGAAGCCTTTTGCATTCGCCGCGATCTTTCCAAACCTTAATGCGGTACATCACTTCCCAGCTCATGCCATGACACTGAAGAATCAACCTTCTGCTGCTCTTGAATGGAAGCCATACATCAGAATATTTTTTGGAGAAGACCTGGTTATAGATGGAAAGGGTTTTCAATGTTCGAAAGTCAAAACAGTTGAAGTTTTCCATCGAACTTAGCTTGTAAATTTCTTCAATGAGTCTAGGAAGCTAAACAACCTGCTTGTTGAAGGACGTGCAATTGAAATACAATATTAATATCAATCCTAGAACCAAAAAAAAGAGAGAAAAAACTAACTCACCATAGCTCGAGATCTTCCAGAAATGTTTGACTTCTTCATGACACACACATAGATGGGGATTTCAGAACAAATAGCTCGGAGTCTCTCTTTCAGTTTCTTCTTTTGCATACTATCAAGGCTGATGCCTTGTGGGAGCATGTAACTCGGAACAGAATGTGCTTCATCGCCCTCAGAAGATGTCATTCCTCCTATGACCAAACAAAACAATGATGTCATGATCTTGTAGATATACATAGATGCTACTAGGTTTGATGACATTGTGACTCAACCTGATGAGTTGGATAGGGATCTTGATGAACTGATACTGATCCTACACCTGTCCCTTTGCTTCCATGCTTTCTTTTTAGTTTCTGTTGTTTTCTTGAGAAGATGAGCACAGTTGCTTGAAATGTAAATGGGTTCTTTACTCTTTCGTCCACCACTAATAGCATTTTTCGCGACAACACATGGTGGTACTTTCTCGCAACCACTAGGATCAAATATCAGAACCTTCATCCGAGACATCCCATCGTACTTGAATACCAAGAAGTCCATCTTTTTCAAGTCATGGGCACTAACAAATGATTCCCACCCAGATTGAAGCACTATTCTGCTCAAATTCTTTGCAACTTGAACATTAAAAGTATAACCACCAAGTGTTTCAAGCATAATACTTCCTTCTATTTTGTCTCCCAAATGTTTAGCAAATTTACCCGGTATGACCTGCGGCAACAAGTTTAACGCATAACAAGGTTCAGATGAGGTAAGGAAACTGTATAATATCTACATCGCTGTATTGCAAGTTTGGTTGATATATCACAACTATATCTTTAAACAAGTGATGCACACCATCATATAATGAAACAATAAATTGATTCCAGATGCAAACAGCTAGCAATTAAAGAATCAAAGAGTTGCTATAGCTTGATTAATTCAATTTCATTACTTGAAGCTATTTGATATTAATGCTGTTAATATGTTGTAAAATCAGTAAATATTTTGTCCCTGTCCCATGGAGCAGAAGCATTGCCTTAAAACAACATTGCCAAAATAGTCTTGTAAGGTCAGTTTTAATGGAGATGTCATAGAAGTTTCATGCACATTAAATAAAATGATATATCAACAAAAACTATTATTTTGCATGTATTGAGAGAAGAGGATTAGAGTTTCATGGGCATGAAACTAGCCAACGCTGTTTCTCACACGTTGGAAAACGTATGAAACTTGCACTGAGCCGGTTTCATTCGTTTCGTCGGATCCACTGTGCGGCAACCCTGGCGCTCTCTTTCCCCTTGCGTTAAATCTCTATCACTCTATGGCCCACCTGCTCCCTTCATGTTTCTCCGTTCAGTCAAATCTCCATGGCCCACCTGCTCCTCTTCACGTTTCTCCGTTTCTCTGATTTTTTTTTTTCATTTGTTTATTTTGTCTCTACAGACTGCATGCATGTCGACGAATACCCGGAAAAAATGCACCATATAATATAATATGTTGTGCGAAGTGTAATATTTGGCATGTTGATGAATATGACAATAATATATATAATATAATATGATGCAGAAACTGTAGTATTCTAATGTGTTAGTTTTTTTTAAATAAAATAGCTACATAGTTCACATGACACAACTGATCGCAACATCTTATAGGAATTAAATGTTACAATTACCCTATGAAATAGTGAAATGAAAGTGTGCACTGAGAGAACCTGTTTCATTCACAGCTACCAACGCTGTGATGTCTTGGAAATAGTGGGATGAAACCTCCCACTGAGACGGCCAGTCTCAGTGAGAGTTTCACGAGAGTTTCATCTACATCTACATTAAATAGTTTGCCACATACGCTTATGATGACATGACATTGTAATTAAGAAGAGAGAGAAGAAATGAGTTTCATGGGGTTGAAACACTCTTGACACGATTACTAACTCTCTATGAGTCATGAAATTAAATGTGTATGAAACTATAGAATGAAACTTTCCATTAAGAGTGGGTGTTTCATCCAAGTTTCATTGCATTCTGTATGACATGGCAGTGTTGAAAACAACGCTATGAAACTATCCACTAAGACTAGCCTTAGTGATGTTATTACATTTATGGCTACTAAAATAGATCTTTGATCAGTAGTCCTTGGGACAACATGCTAATAAATTGGAAACGCTACCACAGTATTGAGTTAGTAACAAAAGTTACTCGATTTCTAAGAAGGTAATTAACACATTCCGGTATTCCACAAGCTGAATACCCGGAAACGCAGTGTGAAAGAAAATTGCTCACCAATCTTTTATGGAAATCACCAATCAAAACCTTGAAGAAATGCTTGCCATGGTCACATGTGTGATCGTCCCGGTGGTAATTTGCATCCTTTGAAGGATTTCTCATCTTTGTAGCATACCTGCATAAAAGTTTACAATAGTATCCACTAGAGATGGAGAAGTAACTTTTTGAGAGGAAAAAAAGAGAGGAAATTGGACAGGTCATAGCTAACAAAGAAAGGGTAAAAAAACAAAGTTTTTTCTACCCCAGTTCAAGGTAATTCTGTATGGCCTATTAAGGGCCCTTTTAGAACGTAAGAATTACATAGAAACCATACCAAAATTTCATGGGAATCATTTCATTTTTATGGGAAATAGAAAACAAAAAAAAAATTCTCGCATTCAAAAGGGTCTAACAATATGACGTTCCATTATTTAAGGATTTTATTACATTCGTATCCATCTCAATTCATGTGTATTGGCGTGAATTAAGGTGAAAAACTAACTAATTTATTTATACCTAATCCACTCAAATCCACGTGGATTGAGGTGAATATGAGTGTAGCCAAATAAATCAATAGTGAGAAACAAACTAGACGAACAATCAATCTGAGAGAGATTAGGAAAAATGGAATTAACAAGGGGAACAGGCTACTGAAGAAACAGAAAAGACGAAACTATCTAAAGGAAATCGCTAGAAATCACCAAAGTAAATCGCTAGAAGAGGACCTACAGTGTTTTTTGCTAAGTCCAAGACTCCAAGCGCAGAAACGTTTTTCTACCGGGGGAGAAGAACAGGATAACCTTGTGCGCCCGTTCCTCTTCAGAGACAGCTAGCCCTGCGCCATGGCCTGATCGACCCTCGATGTTTCAGGGACTCTGTCTGTTTGGTGCTGTGCTGTGGCTGGCACTGGCAGGCGAAGAGAGCAGAGCAGGGGCCGTGTGGTGCCCGGTGTCCGGTGGGATTAATATAATACTCTACAGTAGAGTCAGCAGGCAGGTGATGGTGTGAACTCGGCGCAGGCGCTTGAGCTCCCGTGGAAGAAGAAAGGAACTTGCCGGCGATCATCCGATCCACTGCACCTGCACGCATTGCCATTTATTACTGCTCGCTGCAGTTACGTTCATCGGAAATTATTAGGCCAGTCTCAATGGAGATGTTATGGGAGTGTCATGCACATTAATTAGTGTAACACATCAGCAATAGAACACTTTTTGTATGAAATGGTGAGGAGAGAGGACAAGTTTGTTTATGGCCACGACACTTGCCAGCCCTGTTTCCAAGTTCTCGGTAACCCCACGACACCCGCATTGAGAGAGGAGAGTTTCAACCCACATAATCAATCGATGCACATGATCCAATCATTGTACAGCAATTAAATACTTTACTTAGTTTTGGAATTGGTGAAATGAAGCGCTTTATTGTGAAGGCTAGTTTCATTCATTGTTTTATCCCACTCAAATTGATGTGGCGCTTTTGAAAATCGTGTAGTGAAACTAAGCATTGAGACTGGCCTTATCACGACCACGATGCCGGCGCCGCCTAGGCCCCCACGTCTGCATTTAATAGCAGTATATCACCAAGACGGAAGACTGGGAAACACCTTGAGCTTTTATTGGATCATAGGCTGTGTTAAGGGTGTGTTTAGTTCGCGAAATGAAAATTTTTGGATGTTACATCGGATGTTTTAGGGATATCGGAAGGGGTTTTCGGATACTAATAAAAAAACTAATTATATAGCTCGTCTGGAAACTGCGAGACGAATTTATTAAGCCTAATTAATCCATTATTAGCGCATGTTAGTACTGTATCACTTATGGCTAATCATGGACTAATTAGTCTTAAAACATTCGTCTCGAGATTTCCAACCTAAACTGTGTAATTAGTTTTTTTTCGTCTATATTTAATACTTCATGCATGTGCCGCAAGATTCGATGTGATAGTTTGGGGTAAAAATTGTTAGTAACTAAACCAGGCCTTAGTTTGCGAAATAAAAATTTTTGGATGTCACATCGGATGTCTCGGGAAGGTCGGAAGGGGTTTTCGGATATTAATAAAAAAACTAATTACATAGCTCGCCTGAAAACTGCGAGATGAATTTATTAAGCCTAATTAATCCATCATTAGCGCATGTTAGTTACTGTAGCACTTATAGCTAATCATGAAATAATTAGTCTTAAAACATTTGTCTCACGATTTTCAACCAAACTGTGGAATTAGTTTTTTTTCGTCTATATTTAATACTCCATGCATATGCCGCAAGATTCGATGTGATAATTTAGAGTGAACATTTTTTGGAACTAAACCAGGCCATAGTATAGATGAGACTTACCGGTTAACAAAGCACCACGTCTGCATTTAATACCAAACAATGCCATTCTCGTTTCCAAAGTGTCAAACGGTTTAAACTTTAACTAAATTTATATAGAAACGGGGCACCAAGATTCCGGACGTCCGGCCACAGGACGCGCCCGGACGCTGCTCCCAGTCCCCGCCTGCGCATATGCGGATTAGCTCGCACAGGCGCTGACCGCCCCGTGCAGCTCCGTTTCCCGCACCACTAAAGCTGCTCTATTTCCCGTGCCACGACCGCTCCGCTTCCTGCATGTACGCAGGGCCCTCCCATGCCTGCTCTGTTTCGCGCACGCAGGAATCCACGCGCCCGCATGTGGGTCCACGCCACAGAGGCATCGGTAACACACGACGACGGTGCCCCAACGTAGGTGGGTCCCACTACAACATGTGCAACACCAAATCTACTTTTGCAACATCTAGATAAAACAATTACAACGTACGTTCGAAACAGCTGAAAACACCTAAAACATACGTATGAAATACTTACAAAACACCTAAAAAACAATTGCAAGTATATGCAACATCCAGATAAAACACTTGCAACGTATGAAACTCTTGAAACACTTGAAAATATACGTTTGCAATGCAACATTTAGATCTACTTCTGCAGCATCAAGATTAAACACTTGAAACGTATATTTAAAAACACTTGAAACATATGCTTGTAACATTAAAGATACGCTTGAAACATGCGTATATAGCCATTGCAACATACACAACATTCAGATGAAACACTTGAAAACATACGTCTGAAAAACTTAAAACACGACGTCTGCTACAGCCCACATGGCCTCAACTTTGGATGAAAATGAAGGGACAAAAAATCCATCAGGTTTTCTACTTTTGTTTCGTCAGTTTCCTTTTCTAGTTTTGTTTGATCTGTTTCCATAAGAGAGGGGTTTCCGTGTATGTTTACAGGGTCCTATTTTCATTCATAATGAATCTAATTTTTTTGAGAAAGGGACTGGATTTTATTAAATTAAAACCCCTTTTACAACGGAGACCACAACATAAAATAAAATTACATTGAAGCGCACAACTAGGTCCCTATACTTTATCTTCCCGGTGTCCGGCGGCGTACACCCCTTCAGGAAGCTCCATCGCGACCATGGAAGTATACCAGATCTAGACCCGAGAACCACAGTCCCTACCAACAGAAGACTCCACGAACACATAAAGAGGCACGGTAAGCTCAACCACTATAGGGAGTAAAGGGCGTTGAGAGCACATCGTCCATATCTTCTGAAGGTTGAACCGAACATAAGATCCGACACCACTTGCATCACCATCAACAACCGGAAGGGCAGATCCACTACCACCAGTAGCATCACCGACGGCTGGAAAGATAATCCCATAGAAGGGGAAAAATAGATCCAATCCCTCCTCGAGAAGGACTATGCCAACATACCTTGATCTCTCCAGGAAGAGCAGGCCATCACCGAGGACAATGACGCATCCACCAGCGATCCGGTATGAAACAGAAAGCCGGATCGAAAACATCAAAACGGCCAACCAAAACCTAGCCCAAATTATTATGGAGGAAAGGAAAATAAAAGAATAAAAAATCTAAGAAAACAGTAGATCTGCTAAAAGGATGGACCCCCCGCTCCTCACCACCGGCAGGGAGACCAGAGGCAAGGGGAACGGGGGTCAAGGCGGTGGCGGTGGAGTCGCCCCTGGGGGAGGGGCGAACAGGGCCGAAGTTTCAATATATACCAATATACATGACAACTACATGTTCTTGTGTGATGTTAATACACTGACTAATTATTAATTATGATTGTTAGCGTGTTAACATACTACATAACATGCAAGTGAATATTAGATCTATCTCCATACGTATATATTGTTGTGTGACTTCACACATCTATACTTAAGAATATTAGATTATGCGATGTGTCTGTGTTTGTAAACCGGACTAGTAAATTTATACGAATGCCGCGTTGTTCTAGGAAGACAATGGTAGCATCCAAAAGACACGAGGATTTATACTGGTCCAGGCTAAAGCCCTACGTCCAGTCTCAGAGATGATCAAGTGTGTGTTCCTCGCTTGAATGCTTTGAAGTTCTTACAATGGGGAGTGCAAGATTGGTGGAAGATGTAGGAGAGCTAGAGCTAGGAGAAGGGCTACCCGGAGGAAAGCTTTGAGAGCCCGGTGAGAATGAGAATGATAAGATGAGATCCAGATGAGGATCTAGATGCCCTGAAAGGAGGCCCTGGCTGCCCTTATATAGAGTCCAGGGCCAAGTTACAAGAAGGAGGTTCTCCCGACCGAGAGGTCTTGAGCCTGAGGGAGGGGGCCTAGCTAACTTGGCTTGCAAGTTACGTCATCTTGTGGTGCACGTCTGGACGTGGTTGTTGTCATGGTCTTGTGCCCACGTCGCGGTATGGTGTGGCGTGGTGCTACTGTGCCGGCCGTGGCGACACTGTAGACACGGTGGTAGTTCACCAGCCGTCCTACACAACGTGGTCTTCGTCATCGTATCCTGGTTGTCCGGGGGCGTCGTATGAGGGTAGACAGCTGCCCCTGGGTCACCAATCGTCTTGTCATCTACGGAGTTGGTGGCCATGATCCTGAGCTGAGGGGTCATGGCCCTTGCTGGCTTGGGTGGCCTCCTAAGTCAAGGCCATCGTCGTAGATCCCATCCCATGGTGGGTGAGATCATACATACGTCTTGTCGGGTCGTATTTGGATGGCGGGTCTCCGTATTGGCCGCCACCGCTTGGCGGTGTTGTCTTGTCTGCGCTGCGTGGCGCAAGGGTGGCATCTG